GGTTTTATATTTGAATATTACACTTTTCTGTATATTATCCTGTGAAGGATAATGTGAATAAATTGTGATAATTTTTGTTTGGCATTCCAGTTAAATCTGATGGAGCCACCCCATGATGCTTACTATGTAAATCAACAGAATATGCAGGGACTGGTACTTGATGTTGCGTTACCCTTTTACTTCTCTTGAGCCTTGGATCCTCTATTAAAATGTATGGTTCTGGAATTTGGTTGTAGGGACAGCTAAACTCAATTGCGTCGAGCCATGAAGGTTTTTTTGAGTCTCAACCAAGCATGACTGGACTGGTATTTTATCCTGCCATACACAAGTTTACGCACACTGGGGTTCACCAAACTTTTAGCAAAGTTTCATGTTGGTTACTCCAACAAAAAGTTTACATCTGCCAACTAGACTATCACATCAGCTATTCCATTAGTCCAACTAATGGACATAGATGAAATGACCAATTTGTAGCATGGCCTGTAATCAACTTAAAATTTCGCTAGAAGTTAAGTGACTTCCAGTGTTTTTAACCCAATTTCTTGTATAGAACCCTATCTAATTATTGATAATTTAGAATATGGAATTTCCTTTTTCTATTCCTCCTACTTTTTAGGGACATCTGGATTTTAGGCCACCAAGTTTCAGCTACGGTCTGCAGGTCAGTTTGGTCACAGTTAACCAAGTCGTTAAATAAAAATGTCTTATGAACTTTCCGGGAGCTTATTACTCTTGTTTTCTCTCAAATTTCAGGATGAGCCTAATGTGAGATCAACTGAGTTGCATGGTACTGCTAGGCATGTATGAGGATGGTGAATTACGTGACTGCCTATTAGCGACTGATGGTGTTTTGCATTTAAAATCGACCAGATTGTAGATCGGCAGCTATACATTTCTTGAAAACCTCTGCTATGAAACTTCTAAAGCAGGAGATTTCTGGATCTATCGACTCATATGAGAAATGTTTTGCTTGCACATGTTGAACAGGGCTGAAAACAGTGAGAAGAATGCAGTTTTTTTTCATATATTAGATTAGAATTAGTTAAGCTATTAGACCTTTTAAATCGCCAATCTCTAAATTTTAATTGTGTTATGATTAATGTCATCGTTGTCCTGTTCATTAACTGCGCATTGGGTTGCAGGAATAAATAAGATTGGAACGCAAAATTGACGAGATTTAACTTCTTTTTTATAGTAACATTGTCCAGTACTATAAAGTTTACCTTATCAAACGAGCCAAGAAAGCTTCCATTGAGCAGATTGAGTGTTTGATTTATTATCTGATTAGTTTGCTTCTTGCTCATTGTTGGGTTATAGCACTTTATTTGTCGCAACATTCTGGTCATCAATTTTAAATGGGTGGAATAGTATTTTTTTTTATTAAAAATAAACGGTTGAAAAAGAAGGAAAAAATTTTCGATTTTACATGTAATATTATTTTATGGAAGATCGTGTGGTTGAAAATAAGAGAGAAAAAAATATAATGTAATGGAATGAAAATTAATGGGGGGCAAACGGGGGCTTAGGTTACTTTTGGATTCAAATTTTGTAAAAATTAACTGGATTAAATTTATTTGTAAATTGAGATATTCTACATTCTGTCATTTACATGCCCTTTTTTTTTTTTTTTTTGGTCCATTTTAAAGTCATTGCACAAAAAGAAAAATCGACGCCAAAACATATAACTAACTATAAAATGCAGAATAATTTATATTGATCAACAAACTCATCGATATAAGATTGAGAATTTAATAATAAAAACATAATTTTGCATGACACCTAAGTGAAAGTGTGTAAAATAAAAAAAAAAACCAAATCAAGCATGATTTGACCCTCTTCCTTTGCGACAGAAATTTCTCGCTTTCTTACAGTGATAGGAAGGTGCAAAGAAAAGGCCAAAGAAACCACTGTACAAGTACAAATGTGAACGGGTACTTAACAAAGGAAGAAAATCTAAGAGACTAAGAGCAGAAGTCAGCAAACTTTGTCCTTTGTCATTATCAAACCCCATGTAATTGTTATGCATATCCCTTTTCTCATAGGTGGAAGCCACCACGGCCGCCGCTCCCCTCGGACGGTGGCACGTGGACTGAGCCACCATTCTTGACAAAGCCACTAGAGGGCTCCACCTCTGTGTTAGGCATAAATTTGTGCAGAAAAGCAGAAGCATCACCCTGAGTTTTATTATTCAGTGAAGTGAAAATGTGTTGTAGCTGATTCGGATATTGTCGTTGTTGTCTCTGGAATTGAATTTGAAATCCATTTGGAGCCATGGCTGTAGATGGGATCATAGATTGTTGAGTTCCAACTCCAAAACCAAAGTTTACGCCTGCGAAACAGTATATTTTTAAACGAGATCGTTCAACATAATATGAGAGCAAACACAAAGTTGAATTCATGTCTCATCAAAACTCATTCACAAAAATTACGTACTTGTCTTGAATTTGATGGAAAAATAAATTGACATGTATGTTAGTGCACGTGGAGGGAAGGTTTACTTACTGCTTATAAGTAATTAAAAGCTCGAATCTATAACAATTTAGTCTCGACCAACTAATAGTTCTAAACACCTATTTATGAAGATTATATGCATATCAAACTTCGATAGTAATTAAAAGCAAATAAATAAAATAGATAAATCTAACCCCCAAACGAGGAGAATTTTAACGAATAAATTCGAATGGTAAACTTAACCTTTATTTAATTGTTTAAATTTTTAGATACAGCGAAGTTCTACTCTCACATATTTTGTGAAAATTAATGTTTTCTCATACTTCTGATGATAAAAGGAAATGGGCATGTAAGAGTCGAGATAAATGTATTTCCTATGTAACGGCTTAAACTCTTAATCAAAAAACTGTGACATACCATTGGAATACTGAGTCCTAGATGCAAGTGAAGAACTTGGACCACCAGTGAATTGCTGCACCATGGCTCTAAAATTGCTAGTATTCGTATTAAGTAGCACAACCGGGGATCGCCTCGATGCCCTCGGTCGCCTTCTAAGAGGCCTTGCAGCACGACCACCATCCATGTTCAAGTTACTGTAACTTGGACTCGAGTTACTTTGTGCCACCTCGGTGGCCCAGGTGGTGGTGGCCGGCGTGACACTCTCAGACACACTTCCACTAAAACTTGGGATATTTTGAGGTTGCCCGGAGAAGTTATGTTGATAGAAATGCATCCAATCAGTAGAATTTGACATGGTTTCACTTATAGCCATATGGGAATGAGACTGAAAAAAGATGCCTAAATGAGAGAACTTTTGGCTAATTTCTCATTATTTCAAAGTATTAGGTGAGAACTGAGAAGGAAATAAATTTGAATTATTTATGGACCGAATTACAAATTCTTTGGTCAAAAGAAAAGACTTTTCTAGGGTAAATTTTAGTGAAGGTTACCCAACTTTGAGGGATGTCTCATAAGTCGACAAACTTTATAATTATTTCAATTCTGTTTATTTTGTCAGTTGATGTTAATAAAACTATCAACGCTTACCTTCGTGGATGTTAAAACCTGACAAAAAGTTGACATTGATAAGTTGTTAGAATTTGACATACACGTGTTGAGAACAGTGGTGGATCGAGGGGGACTGGGCTGTAGCACAGCCCATCCCACAACTCAATTCACAATTTTAAAAAAATTAAGTAAAAAATTTACTTAATTTATTATTATTATTTTTTTTGCATATTAGTCCGTCCTAAAATTTTTCCTAGATCCATCCTTGGTTGAGAAGTCAGACTTGGTCGATTCTTGAGCTGATTTTCACACAAATGTTTACTTGTATGTCAATTTAGGCCTTTTTAATCTGTAGTCCATGTATGCCCTATGTGTCATCCCGCTCGCTTTTTTAACGTCCGCGAGTGACCCAAATTGAAATAATTTTAATGTTCGGTTACTTAATCGAGACTTTTCAAAATTGGGTGTTCCTCCATTAAAATTTACCAACTTCTCTATTGAAATTTTTGTTACTGTCAGCGTGGGGTAAGTGGGGTAGGGGGTTCTGGAAGAAGTGGGAATGGATGTATGTTTCCTGGAAACAGCAAGCTAAAGACAAATGCAATGAGTTCGTGAATGCTGACTGGGTTCAAAGAATTTGGGCTGTTTTGGTCCCGAAGGAAGCAACCGTGTAACTCCTTGATTACTAAGTCGTCGTTGGCGGTGATTAAAATAAGATTTTTAGTACATTTTAATAAAAATTGATAAAATGTATAATTAAAAATTTACGAGTTCTATAAAATATATGATTAAAATTAATTATTTACTTAAACTTTAATAAAAACAGGAGCTAAGTAAATGTGTGATATAATTTTTTTTTAAAATATTTTTTCTCAAATTTATTTTTAAAGTCGTCACATTATCTCAATAGAATAATTTTTCATGTGAACCCTCAACTTTCTCTACATTTTAACCGCACTTTTCAAAAAATTACTTTTCATAAAATTTAATCAAAAAATTTATATCAAACAGATCCTAAATAACTAAGTTGACAAACAACGTTCTTGAATCTTATCGACTCAATTTATATACCTGTTTCTTTTTTAGTTCATTTGATTTTTATTTTTGTTTAGTTTAGATGACTTATCATTGTGACGTAGCCAACAAAGATGATGATAGGGTATAGAATTAGTAAATTAATTTTATCGTCAAGTTAAGCTCCTGTTTTAGCCCCATTATTTGGAGATTATAATGTTTTGAATAATGTTTTTTTGAAAAATGAGTGATTGAAAAGAAAAGAAATGTTTTTGATTTACGCATAATATTATTTTATTGAAAATTGTGTGATCAAAAATAGAAGAGAGAAAAATGTAATTTAATTTAATTTAATGAAAAATAATGGGGATCAAACGGGAGCTAAGTAACAATGCATACTGATGGACTAAGTCATTCTTTGAAATGTGCTTTAATGATGGTAAGAGAGAAGCAAGAAAATATGACTTGTTCAACAAAGATGCGTTTTTGCCTAATGATTTTTATTTATTTATTTATTTTTTTATTGTACGGCCATTTTCATTATTCAACATAGGTAGATTTATCTAAGTAATGAATGCCTAAGACTTCTTTAAGTCCAATTTCAATATGATCTCC